GTCATCAAATTCATCGTATAGATTTGTATACGCTACTGCTTTAGCTTACATTACTACTTTAGCTTTTGCTATTGCTAGATTAGATTAGATTAAATTAAGAGAGATGGCCTTTCGGGCTATTTCACTGCGACCTTTTCAGATTTATTGTGGTCCTCTAGTAGCTTCGAGACTGTACCTTCTATGTAGCTATTTGCCGGTGAATTTTTTCTTCTAATGCAAAGAACCGCACATTTGTCAGACTGTCACACTGACATAAAATATCCTCTGCTCTTTCTTCTTCGAGGTGACAGAATCTGCACAGGTCATCATCTGATAATCTCATCACCTTCAAGTGCCTATTTAGCTTACAGTGCTCTGTTAGAAGACCTACTATGGCTTTGACTGTTTTTCTGTCTTTGCTTATTAGGTCTGCCGTAAATTTTGGCGAATGTTCTGTAATGACCTGTTTCGCCTGTATTTATCCTGGTGAATTCCTCCACCATTCCAGAGATTTGTGAGCTACCCACTTCCTTGTAGCCCTTCTTGTTACTGACTCTGCAACGCCGCAAAAGGGTTCCGCTGCAATGAATGACATTGATAAGCCTTGTTTGGCTATTTCATCTGCTTTTTTATGGCTCTTATGACCTTCACGCCCCAGTACCCAGGCTACCGTAACCTTGCTACGGTGTCCTAGTTTATTTAGGGCACACACGCAACCCCATACTAGCTTAGAATTGACCTTTACAGAATTGAGTGCCTTAAGCGCTGCCTGACTATCTGTGAAGATGCCAACTGAATAGAACGTTCTTTTCTGCCTTTGTATTTCTTCCACGCAGTGATCGATTGCAGTTATTTCCGCCTGGAAAACTTGCTATTACTACTTTTGCTTTGTTTTAAGAGGGCCGTATAATTTTGAAGATCTGTCTAACCTATTTTCTTGCCACTGTTTATATAATTTTCTATTTTAGTTTTTTTTAACTTTGTTTGACCACCACGAAGTCTGGTTATTCTGATAAGATTTTCGGACGTATGATGCCTATATGCCTTTTCTATCAGCAATCGTGTCCTGCACGATTTAGCCAAAACTCCACCAATGCAACCAAAGTTTAGTATTTCCTCACACCCGCATTTTTTTTCTGTATAGGTTCGGATATCTACTGTAAAGACTGCCTTATAAGTCAATATATTGGGTATTGGCATTTGTCTATTTTTTTAAACTGTTTTTCTATTTGAATTGTCGAATAAAGGCCTCTCCACTTTCTCGCCATTCATCCCTGTTGTGGATGAGTCGTTTCCACATTGGTCCTGCGACTCTTTTGATATCATCGCTTCAGCGCATTTGAGGTCTTCCTCCTGATCTCTTCGCTTCGTACTTATTTTGTACCATTTTTCAACTTATTTGTTCCATCTTCCAGACGTTCGTTGTGTCCAGCCCATTTCCACTTTAATTTAGCTGCTTGCTCCGCGGCGTCCCTTACTTTTACTTTGTCCGGATTGCTTCATTTGTTTGTTGATCGATGAGTGAGATACCAAGCATCTGTCGTTCCATGGCTCGCTGAGTTTTTCGAATCTTGTTCACGTTTATTTTTGTGAATGTATAGGTTTAAGTTGCCTAAGCGATAACGGGAAGGATACAAGAGTCGAACACTTTGGTTCAAAAATTTTGTGGTATTTTTTTGCCTTACAGTATGTATGAGAGTTTTTCGAATGCGGCCATCCCATTCTTACTCGTCTATTTATTTCAGTAGTTTGGTTTTCTTTTTATACCTTGATATTTTGACCAAGATAAATGTATTCTTCCACATGTTCTACTTTTGTTTCTTGAACGGTTATTGTCGGTTGATCATCTTTGTTCGATATTACTTTAGTTTTGCTAAAATTCATTTTCAGTCATTTTTTTAAGAATTATGTATGCAGCTCATCGATCATCGGCCTATTTTATGTTGTCTGTAATAAAGTTTTTAACGCTCAATTCCGGCTTTACAATTGATCAAATCGCAACCATAATTGCAGCCAATGGTATTGTCCGAAATTGAGTATTGGCTGTTGTGCAAGTTTTGCATTAATTTTGTATAAATATTTTTTATACAAAGATTTTTGGCACAAAGGCCAAAAATTCGTTCTGGTCTGGACAGTGATCCGCAGAACCAGTCTTCTTGGCATTAGAGACCTTATGGTTGATTTAGTTCCCAGAAACTCTGACTTTAACTTTGTACCTAATCGCTATCCTTTTTATTACAGGATGTTTCAAAGTCCCCTAGCTGTACTTAGAATAATTTATATTTAATTGTATATTTTGGGTTTTTATCAACTTAGAGTATTTCTTTAAAATATTTTATTTCGATTTAATTCATCTTTTTGACTTGGCGCAAATTTGAATTCGTTGTATTATTTCTTCCTTAAACGGACTTAGCATAATTTCATATATTTTGCCTTTATTTTACAGATATGTACGCCAAATATTTAATTTCGATTTATTTCAGATTTTTAACTTGGAATATTTTCGTAAAATATTTATTTTTGATTTATTTAATCTTTTTAACTTGGAATAATTTAGCTAAATTATTTCTGTCTTTCTTTCAAGGATTTTTCTAAAAATGGACAACAGTTTTCATATTTTATTTTAATTTGGTATTTTTCAGGAATTTTAACTTGGAATAATTTCATAAATTATTTCTATTTTTATTTTCTCTTTCAGATTTCCCAAGTTCCTGAACGGGAATTTGTATAATATTTTTATAATATTTTACTTTCAGCGACAGCGACGAATAGTTTTTATACATTATTTCTTTTTCAGGCGTCTAAGTCCCCAAGTGGACCTTATAATAATTTTTCCAATATTTTATTTTCTTTAGGAACTCTTTAGGGACTAAGGCTTTTACTGGGACTGTCTTGATGACATGCAATCAAATGGTAAGTCAAGCTATGCTCCGAGATAGATTTCGTCAAATTGTAAGATACCTGCACTGTGCAGATAACAAAAAACCGGAAAACTATGATAAAATGCGGAAATTGAGGACGTTGATGAATAAGTTGAAAAAAAATTAGACTGGATTCCAGAACAAAACTTAAATTTTGACGAGTCCATGATAAAATATTTTGGGCAACATCCCTGTAAACAGTGTATTCAGAAAAAAAAATCAATTAGGTTCGGCTACAAGATGTAATGTCTGAATATATGTTATTCAAAATAACTTGAATACGATGGAATAAGAACAGTTCGGGAAAACCGCATACCCAAATATTGCCCATTACCCCAAAAGAAAGATCTTTTTAAAATAAACTGTGAGAGGTGGCTATAGTTCAATACTAAACAAGGATGATAACATAATTATTTTTAAATGGGTAGATAACAATGCAGTTGCTGCAGCGTTTACATGCCATGGAATAAATCCAGTTAGTAGTGTAAAAAGATTTTTATGGACAAAGAAAACAATTATCCAAATCAGTCGTCCATCAATTATAACTGAATATAACCGATTTATGGAAGGTACTGATTTGTTAGATGAGAATCTTTCAAGATATAGTATAAGTATCAGACATAAAAAGTGGTGGTGGGCAATCTTCACATGGTTGTTAGATGTTTCTATGGTAAATGCATGGATTGTTTACAGGAAGACGGGATCTATATCTCAACTAGATTATTATTATTATTATTATATTTAACAGAGTGTCAGATGATCTACGATATGATGGTCGAAGACATTTACTTGTACCTAATGACAATAAGAAAAGAAGGAGATGTGCCGGGGAAGGGTGTTCATTTAATGCTAATGTATGTACAAAATGTTTGAAATGTGACTTTGGTCTATATATAGAATGTAATGAAATATTCCATACCAAATAATTTTTTATCACATTTTAGGCTAGCGTTACCATATGGTAACAGTCCAATTTTTGTTAATAAACTGTGTTCCTGTCATATTTTTTTTTGTTCCGAAAATATATAGTTTTAATACATCGTTGAACAATCTCCTTTTGCTAAAATAATCAAAAAACAAATAATTTTTTATCACATTTTAGGCTAGCGATACCATATGGTAACAGTCCAATTTTTGTTAATAACTGTGTTCCTGTCATATTTTTTTTTTGTTCCGAAAATATATAGTTTTAATACATCGTTGAACAATCTCCTTTTGCTAAAATAATCAAAAAACAAATTTCGCTGTGTAAGGGTTAATTCTTTGATCTACTGAATTTTATACTTTTCTTTGATTTCGGAATTTAAATGTGAACTATTTGTGGATGAAGAAAAGCGTTTTGAATTTAGCAAATCCAGGGAAAATTTTTCGTTTTCACGACCTGCCGTTAAGCCTTTTTTGTAGGTTACTTATCGTGAAAATTAATAAACTTTCGTGGATGAAGGAGAAAATCACGGATATTGACCTATTAACATTACATGTTTAGGTCATAATTAACTCCCTTAGAGCACCAGGAGCCCATATGACAAATTTTTTAAAAATAGAATCAATACTCCTGTATCGATTCTTGAAATGGCATAAGGGAAAAAAATTTATAAAATATTTTCTTTACAAAAGAACATTTCATTTTGACACAAATTTTCCCAGTAAACCCCACAGTTTTGACATACAGATTATTTTACTCTTCTTGAATTCACCTGTCAGTATGATCTTTTTTAACATATTCTATAATATCAGTTGTTTCGCTTATAATAAAATTTCTATATATCTGCTTCCGGTACAACTGGAAGTGGTTGAATCAAATCGATATCATGTTATTTGTAATCCTCTAACTCGTGTAATTAATTTCAGACACGTGCAAAATAAATTAATAGAAAATAATAATTTTATTCCTCTAAAAATATTTTAATGTATTAAACTATCACAATAGTTTACATTTCTGCATATTGAGTAACAATTTATAGTTGAAATTTTTCAATCTGTTGTTTTTGTTGTGGAATTCCGAAATATATATATTATTTTCCGCACATTACTCAAGCATATAATCAAAACTGCTTTCTCATGGCTGTGAAGTAAATTCCACCTTTGGTTAGTGGTTCACTCAACCTCAACCGGTACCCGTATGATAGTCGATGTCAGTCACAGTCACGTCGTAGTCGGAGATAAAGCTATCCATTAATTACTATCCTCTACACGCTCTTCGGCGTTATAATAAAGTATCCTCCGACCTGTAGTTTTCATTAATCAATTGATAACTGCGCTATGTTTTACCGTAAAGAAGACTGTCGTGTGTTCGTGAAGTGAAGTAGTTTGTATGCAATCAGAAAATGTTTAAAAGACAGCGATCGAAAAATAGTGGTTCTCCGACTATTCAAAACGGCGAATCGCAACATTCCCACATGGAGAACAGTGTCCCTGTGTCACCGGTTTCCAAAAATACGCTTCAATTCTATTGTCAACTGGCCCATGGTAGTCCGACAGCTTTCGTGTCAGGATTTTCTAATGTTCGAGAGCTCTACGGGAAAATTGGAGAGTGCTTTGAAATGCCACCATCTGAGGTAAATATAAAAATTACTGCGAGGGAGTAGAATAGTTCTACATTTACATTTTTAAATTTAATTGATACGAGCTTATAAAAAAATTGAAAAAATAACGTGTAGGCTGATTATCGGCAGAACAACAAATGACCTTCCTATAACAATAAAATGATGGGTGTTAAATTAAAGTGACCTAGTACCAACTAGTTTGTTTCGTATTGATCTTATTCATTTATCAATTATTTATGAGCACATACATGCAAATAGCAAATACATTTAATAATATTTTAAAAAGAATACAAATAATTGTATAAAAAATGTGCATTTTTTCAATAGAGAAAAAATCAACAAAACTCATTATTTTATAAATAAAACACTAAAACCGCAACCTTTTAAAGTTTCACAAAAATCACGATGATAAAATCATATATATATATATATATATATATATATATAATATATATATATATATATATATATATATATATACGATTTTACAATAAAATCACGATAGTTGATTCTGCGTTGTCTCTAAAAGTGAATTATTTCAAGATGATCCTTTCTAGTATTAACTCTCCTTGTTGAAGTTTGGCTCTTCTACATTTCTAGGTCAATAATATGAGACGCTTACTAGCCAATTCAGCTCATCTTTTCCCCCGGTGTGTTCTCTTTGCTATAGAGGTACAATTATTTTAAATTCTTCCACCGCTCACCTCTTGTTGACCCCATCTTAATCCATATTTTCATCTTCTCTAACTATAATTCTTTTTCAACTATTGTCTGATCTTCCTCTCATTCTTTTTCCTCCGTGCTGATATTTAAGTATTTTTCTCGCTGTCAGTTTGGTCTTTCCACAATGAGTGGCCAATCTATTTTAATTTTTTGCTCTTATTAACTGAGCAGATATATGAATAATTTGTTTTTTAGTTTTCTTGTAATTTCATCATGTTAACATACTTCTGCTCCGTGAACTAGGTATATTTTTAATACAGCTATTAAAACTTTTGTTCTTGTCTGTATATATACATACTTCTTGTATCCTTTTTGATTACCATAATTTATCTCAAACAAATATGTAAATTTGTCCACTTCTATTTCCTTTCTAATTAGACATCTTTATTTTGTTATTTTGATGTTTTTTCCTTTTTAGATTTTGGTTTCATCTTTGCCAAAGTGTCAATATATCAATTTTTATTCTTACGTGGATTCTTCTTTCGGTTATCAAGCTGATGTCTGTAAAATTGAGGTGTTCCAATCAGCCAATTCATTTTACAGTTTCCATGTAACGTATGTTCAATCAGTTACTTTTCTAATTATCCAGTTTACCATGATTGGAAACAGTAGAGACAAAAACACAAAACCTTATTTCACTCTACTTTCTACGACTATTTCCTCGTTGATCTCTTCTGGATATTCCAGTCTGACCTTATATCCTTCATATAATAGTTAATCTAGATAATGTTGGTAGCTCATAGCTTTTTCAAAGTTGACAAAAGTCACAGTTATATTTGGACATTGTTAGCTGTTCCTTAATACATAATATTTATGTGGTCAATAGAAGTGCTTAACATGAAAGCCTGCTGTGTGACTCTTCATTTTCTGATTTAAATTTAATTTCAGTTTTTCTAGTATGGTTTTGTCATTACTTTACACTGTTTTACTCCTCTTTATATGACTATTTTTCGTTGATTTCTTGTGTTTTTCAGTCTGACTCTATATTACTTATAGAATAGCTTAATCAAGTAAATATATTGTTGTGATCGCCCGTATAGTCTAAGATTTTTTACTTTTGCTCTACATTGATGCGTTTGAAGGGGTTTCAAATTATACAAATTTCACTTATATATTTTTGCCTTTCTTAAGCTGTTCCTAAGAGTACATTATGTTTTTAATAGTAGAGCTTTAAACATACATATTGCATGCTAATTTTTGCAGCAACTAAGATCTTCGTGTTTATTATCAACCCTTCCTTCCACTTACTTGTTAATTCTTATGCAGGATTTCATTTCCTGTGACGTTTTCAAAATGATGATGAATGGGGAAAGATTTAAGATGGTCTGAAATTTACAACAATCAATTCTAATGTCTCTTTAAGAAGAAATGTAGGGCTTAGTTTTAATTAAGTAGACGTGGTATGTGTTTTAATCGGGACTGTGATGGTAGCGATAGGCCAAGTCTTCGGTTAGTTGAAGATCCTGTAAGACTTTGGAGATAATTGTTAACTGTTCTTTGATTAATTAGTTAACCGTTTGAAAGCGTTTTTAAGAGTTTTAACGAAATATTTTGTCCTAAGAGGGTTGAGAGTATATACTAATAGTTGGTAAGCATCAGAATGAGCTTGGCTTGTGAAACCTTATAAAACCGATCTCTCTACGTCCGGTAATAAAGTTAAAATAAGTAGCAATATTGTGTAAGATTGGATTGTAAGAGATCGCCTATAAGTTTTGTTCTGTAAGAATTCAGTGATTTTATTGGTAAAGGATATTAAATATTACATATTATTATGTAATCTTTTTTTAACAATTCTATTTATCTGTATGATAATAGCAACACATGACTATCGAGACAGGAAAGAATTTTAATTACTACATAAAACAATCCCTCGTAAGTACTTATAGGAAGACAAAATTAAGTACAGATAATAAAAAGAAAACGGGGCATTCGATACAGGCAGTCAATACTCAGAACTCAAAAGAGTGTGTTTGCAATAATTTGAATGCCGAATCGAAAAGACGAAATTAAATGACTTGCCGGTCATTCTAAGACGCAATTATTTCCAATGCATTTTCTTTTTAAGAAGTAACACAAATATTAGCTTGTTTACCGGTCGGATACGCACATACACAGATATGCGAACACGCATAGTAAAGAAGGCACAGATCACAAAGATGGGCGCTGTTAAAGGCGTAGTTTCCACTACTGTAGGCACTCTGAGGAACGGTTTGGTAGGTCCAAGGGATCAACCACTTTAATGTCTTCGCTTGTTGGTTGTGGAGAAGATTGAATGCCAGGGTATTAGGATGCACGCGCAACCTGTTTTGATATTGTTCAGAAATTCTTTTGTACTCTTCAGATATTGTTACATCCAGAGCTGCGAACCATATGACCAAACGGGTTTTAATAAAACTTTGTATATCAGCAACTTGTTGTCGATCGATCGGTATAAGTTTTTTCCCAGCATCCAATAAAGTTTTCTGTATAAAATTCCTAGTTGTACTCTTTTCTGTACTGGTCCATGTTAATCGTTTGTTCAGATGAATGCCTAGATATTTTACGTTATCCTTTTGGAGTAAAGTATGTCCATCGAGGTTAATTTGTGGACATATACCTCTTGTTAGAGTAACTGTAAATGTGTGGACTTTAAGGGATTCACTTAATTCTCCAGAGTTTAAACCATGCACTAGTTTTGTTTAGATGTAGTTGCAGTATCTCTGATGGTATTACTGGATTACTATGAGATGTTATGAAAGCAGTATCATTTGCAAATGTTGCAAGCGTAAGGTTATTGCTTATTGGTAAGTCAGCCGTATATAACAGGTATAATATCGGTTCGAGTACACTACCCCGAGGTACACCAGATATGATAAGGTAGAGTTGTGTGTATGCTGTACTACACCTTACTAGATATCTTACACCTTACTATATTTCTGTAAGGTATGATTTAAGTAGTTTAAAGTCAGTGTAAGGTAGGTTTTACTTTAACTTATACAGAAGTCCTGTGTGCGACACCTTGTCAAAAGCTTGACAGGCATCTAAAAAGGCTGCAGTACAGTATTCTTGTTTTGGAGACTAGTTCTTACTGTTATGTATAATCTGTGAACTTGTTCTATTGTAGCGTTTTGGTTAAGACATCCGAATTGATGGTCAGGTATAAGACCCTTTTTCTCCAATATTGGTTTGATTTTTCTCAACAAAGTTTTTCAAAAACCTTAGAAATGACTGGGAGTAAAATAATTGGTCGGTATGAGTTGACATGTTTTGAATCTTTACCTGAATAGGTTTTTGAATGAGTGTAACCTGTGCCACTTTAAATTGCAAAGGGAAGTAGTGAAGACTTAACATAGCATTGAAGAATATTGTAATTATTCTGTAGCAATCATGGGTTAGTTCTTGAAGGACCTTACCTGTAATGAGATCGTATTCCTGCGTCTTTTGGGTTTTTTATCTCATTTTTGATTATTTATTTTATTTCTTTAATGTTAAATTGGGAGATTGGTAGTTCCATTTGATATGGAGCGGCAAGAAAAGAATGAAGTGATTCTTCTTGTCCTACAGGCACTTCTCTGGTAAATGTATTAATATTTTCGAATGTTCTGCGAATGTCTCAGATTTCCCTGTATCTGTTCTTGCCCATTTACCTTTGGCATTTTGTAAAGGAGGTATGACGCCTTGAGGCACTTTTAATTTTCTCGTCGCTTTCCATAAAGAATAGTTTATATCTTTAAACGGCGTCACATTTTCTAGATAAGTTTGGATTCCCTTGTAATTCTGTCGTCAAATATTATACCTAAGTACTTCACTGTCTTTTGGGGTACTATTGCGGAGCCTTTGTATTCAAATAAAATATCATTTCTTTTTCTCGGTCCCCTCAAGATTATGGCTTCTACCTTCTCTACTGCTAGCTTTAGGTCATTTGTTTCTATCCAGATTTTATTGCTTTATTTACCTATTGCTTTATTTACTTTTCCTATTATTTTCCAATTCGTATCGTCTTCGACTAGTAAAGCTAGATCTTCCGCGTATGCAATCGCTCTCACTCCACTCTCCTTGTTTACTTCTAGTACTCCGTTATATAATATATCCATAGTAAGGGTCTCAGGACTGACCCCTGGGGTACTCCCACGGTCATCTCTTCCTTCTTTTTTTTTCGATATGCATACGGTTCTGTCAGATAGGTAGTCCTTTATTATGTTGGAAATATATTCTGGAGCCCATTCGACGATTTTGTCTGCTATAAAGCCCCAATTTGCTGAATTAAATGCATTTTTTACGTCCAACAGAACAAGGACCATTCATCTTTT